CGATTCTCGATCACCGCGCAGTTGGATAGGCTGACGAGTCTAAAGCCACTCAAGACCAAGAGTGCACAAGGTCTGAAGAACCTACTGACCACCATCACTGAGGCAACCGCCGCGCTTCGCTCGCTAGGGTGCGCGATCCACAGCTGGGACCCGCTGCTTCTCCACCACCTCGTGAAGCTGCTCGACCCGGAGACTCGTGAAGCCTGGGAGGTTTCGCTCGGGTCGTCTACCGCTTATCCGACCTTTACCCAGTTCGAGGAATTTCTTGTGGGGCGGACACGAGCATTGGAGAATCTCGGTCTCTGCACGACTCCCGGAACGTCTGTTCCTATTTCGTCTCATAAACATCGTGCGAAGGCTGCTGTGCACGTCGCAGCTTCCGCTTCCGATACGAGCACCTCCTCTTGCCCTCTGTGCGGAGATTTGCATCATTTAGCGAAATGTGAGAGCTACCAAACGAAGACGGCACAACAGCGAAAGGATCTCGTCATAAAGCATCGAAGATGCTTTAACTGCCTCGCTCCTCACCTTGTGAACAGGTGTACTTCCACAAAACGATGCCTGAAGTGCGGTAAGAGACATCACACCACCATCCATAATGTCTACCCCGCGCCCTCAACCACACCCGCTACGGCTACGACGGCAAAGAGTGCTACCGTCCGGTCTGAGGAGAAGACCGATTCACGACCATCCATCGATTGACGACCAGAGGCATGTGCCCACCAGTCCGGACAGGCACATGCTACTGGAAGGACCACACTACTCGCGACAAGCAGAGCCTGGCTAATAAGGGGCAATGGGGAACGTCAACCAGTTCGCCTACTGATCGCCAGGGATCAGAGTTGTCCTTTATAGCCGAAGATTTAGTGCGACGAGCCCAGATCACCCGTTCCGCTGCCTCCATTCCGCTCCTCGGAATCGGTGGTACATACTCCGGTCGTACTAAGGGAAGCGTTCTCGTTCAGCTTCAATCCATACATGACTCTGCGAATTGTTCACTCCGAGCCTTTGTATTGCCACGCCTTACCACCAGGCTACCGCCGTGTACCACAAGTTCCTCACCTTCACGTCAGATTTCTGGACTTTCGCTCGCCGATCCGGAGTATTTTGTCTCGGGGCCGATACAGATCATCATCGGATCCGACAACTATCATGCCGTGATTCGACCAGGCTTGATACCAGGCAATTCATCCTCGCCAACGGCGCAGCAAACTATTTTTGGATGGGTCCTCTGCGGCCCAATCCCCGCGGCAGAAACACCTGCCTCTGCCCGAGCGCACCACTGCTCACCGGATCACGAACTGCAAGGTCTCATCGCCAAGTTTTGGATCCAGGAGGAGCTACCGGATGCCACCAGGGCGGCATTGAACGAAGAGGAGCAGGAGTGTGAGAATCACTTCTCGTCGACTCACTCACGGGATGCCAAGGGCAGATACGTAGTTCGCCTGCCACTAAAATCGAATCCAGGGTCATTGGGAGAATCAAAATCGAAGGCTCTCGGCTGTCTTAGACGCCTATTTCAACGATTCTCTTCCGACGGTACATTCCAACGACTTTATGTGGAATTTATCGAAGAATACCGAAACATGGGACACATGATTGAGGCTGATACCTCCTCCGCTCACACCCCTGTCCATTATCTTCCACATCACGGAGTATTTCGGGAGAACAATCGTACTACCAAACTAAGAGTCGTGTTTAACGGATCCAGTCGTACGAGCAACGGCCTTGCGCTCAACGATATTCTCCACCCAGGAGCGAAGCTTCAGACTGACATTTGCGATATTCTGCTCTGGACCCGCTCTCACAAAGTTCTTTTCTCTGCAGACATCGTGAAAATGTTCCGTCAGATTGCAGTCCACCCCGACGACTGGGATTTGCAGAGAATCCTGTGGTTTGGACCGGACCAACAGCTTCTCGCCTACCGGCTTACAACGGTAACCTACGGGCTCACTTGTGTGCCCTTCTTGGTGATGCGGACCCTCCAGCAACTAGTGAGTGACGAAGGGCATCGTTACCCCCAGGCGATCGGCCCTATGACCAAGGGCAGGTATGTCGACGACATCTTCGGAGGAGCCGACACACCCTCCGAAGCCAAGGAGATCATCAGGCAGGTGATTCAGCTTTGCGAGGCGGGGGGACTTCCGTTGCAAAAGTGGAATAGCAACTGTTCCGAACTTCTGCCTAACTCAAATCAGGAGACATCCGCCGACGTCGAGATTGAGCCATCCTCCAGCAAGATTTTGGGCATCGTTTGGCGACCAGGCTCCGATACCTTGCACTTCTCGCCCGGTATTCCATGCGTACCCACCTTTACGAAAAGAGCGATCGCCTCGGACATAGCGAGACTGTATGATCCTCTGGGGCTAATTTCACCAATCGTCGTAAAAGCTAAGGTTCTTCTACAGGAGCTTTGGCTGTTGAAGATCGGGTGGGATGAGACACTTCCTACCGAGGTCCAAGAGAGATGGTCTGCATTCCGCCAGCAACTACGCCAGTTAGAACCACTTTCCATACCACGATGGGTCGGTATTCTTCGCTCCTACGCTCCGAGGATAGAGATACACGGATTCTCGGATGCATCGCAACTTGCCATGGCGGCGGCTGTTTACACAAGGATCCTGAGCGATAACGATACAGGTTACGTCCAGCTGGTGTGCTCCAAAACGAGGGTTGCCCCCCTCAAACGGCTCACCATTCCACGACTCGAGCTCACTGCCGCTCTGCTTCTAGCTCGGTTGATAGCCAGGACGACAAAGGCTCTGGAGCTGTCTGACACACCGGTCTTCTGCTGGTCGGACTCCTCAGTTGCCTTGACGTGGATATCGGCTCACCCCTCACGCTGGAAGGACTTTATCCGGAATCGCGTGTCTGCCATCCAAGAGATCCTACCAAACGGGTCATGGCGCTATGTGCCGGGAAAGGAGAATCCTGCGGACCTTGCCTCAAGAGGCCTACTACCGGATCAGTTGATACACCGCGAGCTGTGGTGGAAGGGACCTAAGTGGTTATCCGACTCCCCATCTGCCTGGCCTTCCGCCGAATATAGACCTGCGCCAAGGTCGAATTTGGAAGAACGACCCGGACAGGTTCTGATGGCCGCTGCCTATCGACCTCAGTACTGGGAGCTGCTTCACAAATATTCCTCCCTCACCAGGCTCCTGCGTGTTACTGCGACGTGTCGCAGAGTTGCAGCCTGTCTACGCAAGGTGCCGAAATCCTCCCCCATCGACCACCCCTTGACCCCGCTGGAAATCCAGCTGGGCCGCGACCTGTGGATTCGAACGGTACAAAGGGAGTGGTTTCGAGAGGAAATACGGCTTCTACTGAGAGGAGAACCGCTGCC